TTTTCCTTCCCGTTTGCTTGGAGGACAAGCCTCCCTTTGCCCCAGCTGAGCGGGGTTCCCTCCCTCTCCTGAAGACCTAGTGGCCCCTGATGTGCGCTGGCAGGGTTCTTGTTTTCTCCGGAAATACAAGGAAAGGGGGATGGGAAACGCTAACGGAGAGACTTTGTAGTTAGCGGCTTCGGGGAGAGGGACTCACGGCAAGGTGCTGCAGGTCAGGGCAAGCGTGGCTGTGACACGCGTGGAGCGTGGCAGCAGGCTTAGCATCGCTGATGTTGCATTACACTTGGGGTGCTGCCGTGATGTTGGTACTTCGCCCATTGCTGCTTAGAAGGCTTTCTTGCCTCCGTATGCGAGGTGTTTGCAAAGTCAATGGCACTGGTAGTTTGGCTACTTTGAAATAACAGCCAAGAGTACTCTGGAACCCAAATTCAGCACATGGGATCCGTGGCCCGCAGGTTGAGAAGCTGATTAGGGTGACTGTGCACGGACCCTGTTTCAAAACTGTCACTTGTTACAGCGATAGCTTTTTGTAGCGTAAGTTTATTGGGGTGAACAATCGCTTACATTGCCCCAGCTCTTCATGCACCCCAGTCTTAGTATTTTGTAGTGTTTGGGCAGGGAGACCTTTACAGAAAATGATTTTAGCTGTGTTTCTTCACACAGCAATTAGGTAGTGGTTGTTGGGGTTTTTTAAATCCTTTCACTGGCTGCCATAGGATGGTGTTTGCAATAGCAGTTTTCTTGTACTAATTGAAGCAGTGTATTGGCCTAAAGCATTTGCTGTTGAGTGCCTTGTCTTTCTTTTAGCTGAGGAGAGGAGTGTTAATTCAGGTTTAAATATGTTAATATGCATCAGGTACTTAAAGTAATTGCATTTAAACTACTGGCAGAAGCATATACTTAGCATTGCTTAGACTTATTCTGAGACATCTTACACCTCCTCCCAGCAGCTTGGAGCTTTCTGATTGCATCTTCTAGTTTCAGAGTATTTATTAAAGATACATGGATCTGGCTCAGGATAAGTGTTCCTTTGGAACTGGTGAATTTTACTTCTTCATATTGACAAGTAGTTTCAGGTTCCTGTGCACTTTCAACAGCTGCCTTTGGGATTGAGAGAATAGGACTTGACTGGTATCTTTGTTGCCATCTGTGTTCATTGTGAAAGTATTTTCCAAAGTGGGTTGCAATGTAGGAAAGAACTATCTACTGTTATCTTCAAATAGCATAGCATTTTGTTTCTCTGCAGAGTGCAAGTAAGAGACATCAGGCTTTTAATTGTTTGTATAAATGTTAATTCCATGTATCACTATTTCCACAGCTCTGAAGAGATCGCTTTCTAGTTAAAGATGGCTGCTGATACCTCTGTTGAAATACTTCAAAAAGTCCTGGAGAATGAAATTCTTCAAACTACCAAGGTTGTGGAAGAACATCTGGATGCTGAAATACAGAAGCTGGACCAAATGGATGAAGATGAATTGGAATGCCTTAAACAAAGGAGGCTTGAGGCACTAAAAAAGGCCCAGCAGCAGAAACAAGTAATTCCTGTAGTTATATATGCTCTTGATGTGTACAGTGTAACAGACTTTTTGGAAATCCTAGGGAAATTGTATATGTGAACTAAGTGGTTTGGGGTTGGTTGTTTTTTCTTCTCCCTCACCTTTCTGTACTTATTAATTTTACATTATCGAGGAAAGCAAGTGTCTGTCCATGTGTGCATGCTTTGTGTTTTTTAACAGGAGGAGAGAAGAACCTCTGTGATTGTTTACAATAAGGACAGGATAAAGAGTCTCGTACAAAGATTTGAGCATGTCTGTATTCACTGAACATTGCTATCTGGAACCATAAGCCCTGTAGGCAACCTAATTATAAGCCTTTAGGCTCCTTAAGGTTCTGAATTCTGGAGATTGTTACTTACGGCATGTAAGTGATGCATGCTCTTCTCTTAAGGTATTTTGTAGAAGAATGATACAGGGTCTTTCCTTGTTCCTAGGGTGGAATCGTTTGTCTGCTCGTTTCTTCTTGCAGGAAAGAAATTCTGCTTTGGTCCCTGATACCTCATGCTAAATTGTGGTCTTTATGCTCCCCAGAAAGTCTCTTTGAACATAGTTCTTACCAAAGTTTTGGTAACATACGGTGTGAGACCTGAATTGTAAGTAGGGAAGCTATAGGTTTCTTAGCTTACTCCGTCTAAGCAAACCTAAACGAAGAAATAGACTGGGCTGTGGGGGGAGATGACTGGGTTGAAAGGAGATGCCCTGGCTGTGGTGGAACCCATAAATGCTAGTGTCGTGCTTTGAAACGGGAACGCAGTAAAATGTCGTGGCATGGTTGGGATGCTGGAGGACAGGCAGTGTTAGCGGCTTTGATTCTCTAAACGGAAGTGGAGAAAGTGGCACACTGTTTGCTTGTCTTCAGAAGTTCAGTTTATATTTGATTCTAGTGTATTCCTTTTTCAGAAGTCATAACACTTGGATGTGAACATGTGGTAGTTCTCACGCGAGAACTTGGCTCATGTCAGTTGATCTTAAGTCACTATTCTCGCGCATTTTCAAATGCAAATTTGAAGTAGGATACTACTCAGTAAAAGGAGTATGCTGCCACACTATTCTGGAATAGGATTGTGCAGGGGGGAATTAATGCATACCCACTGTTGAGGGATAAGTCAGTTCTTGATATGCATCATTATGACTTCTTCATGTGCTCATACTTCTGTGCATTTTTAATGTGCACAATGTTCAGGAAATTCTTTGTTCTATCCTAATTTAGCTTACAGGATATTTTTGGTTTGCTTGGAAACCTTCCCCCTCACCCCCCCGCACTTAGACAAAACTGCGAGATCAAGAACAGTGATTTATCTAAATCTTCCCCCCCACTGGAAACTAAAGTTTTTTGTCAAGTTCTGTCCTACTGCACTACTTCTAATCGTTTAGCTTAGGTCCGTACTTGTTTTAATACACTACAATTAACTTTCAGTATTGTAGAAGCTGGGTTTTTTCTTAAGTGCGTTTGTTGAAAATCTAGAAGATTAGCTTTTTCTAAACCGTATTTGCACACTTAATCAGGCAGTTTTTGAAGTTGCCTGTAAATTTTAGCTTGTGAAATTCTATTTCTCCATACATTTTATGACTAATGGTATGCATGTGTTTTCTGAATGGTTTTCTGGAAGCCTGGCTCATATTAAGATACCTTCAGTGTATATTTGATAGATAAACATTATCTGTTGCAGGTGAGTTAGTAGGCTTTTTCTCCCTGATTTTTTCATAAAGGGAAAAATTAGAAGAAATCTATTTTAGTACCTGTAATGACTTGGATCAATTTTAGACAAGACTTCTTTGAGTGTACAGAAACATTTTGGAGAGAGTAGCCCAAGCTGTCAATTAGCAATTTTCAAATACCAAGAATTTTCTGACATTGGTGTTCTCTTTGAACTAGTCTAGTCTTACTGAGAAGCTGCACTGCAGAAATTTATGCAGCTCTATACAAGATTTCTATTTCCAAGTAAGTAAGGTGGCCTTACTGCTTGACCACCTATCTGTTGTTGAGAATGAGGCAGCCCAAAAGTATTGTCTAGCCTAGTGGCATTTGCGTATTTTCAAAACAGAACTAAAGGGGGGAAGTAATTTGTTTCTCCTTCTGTTACTGTATGAAATGGGTTTCCAGTGCGGGGCCCCTCTTTTATTTTTCTTAGAAGCTGTTGAGCTTGCATGGCAGGTGCAGGACTAACAAACTACATACTAATTATTTCCTTTTATGTTTTCCAAAAGGAGTGGCTTTCAAAAGGACATGGAGAATACAGAGAAATCCCAAGTGAGAGGGACTTTTTCCAAGAAGTCAAAGAAAGTAAAAATGTGGTTTGCCATTTCTATAGAGATACAACGTTCAGGTATAGTAAATAAGCTATGCTCAAGAAACCTTTTGTTTATAGATGTCTACAAAAACAGACATGTTCTTCTGTTCTTCCAAATCCCAGAAATAAATAGGCATTTTTAGAAGTATTCAAATTCCTTCATTTTCCAAATCCTGCTCCCTTCTCAAGACGTTTGGGGTTTTTAATATTTTTATTTCCATTCCAGTTAATCTGAACATGATTTGACAACAATTAATACTCTGTTACATAGTTGATTAGAACATAAATGTATAACTTCTTTGACAATATTTGAGAGAGTACTGTGTTTCATTATTGATTTAATTTGAGGGAGCCAGGTCTGTAAATGTAGTGACCATACAGGAGCAGCATTTCAAAAAGATCGCTTTGGTTATTCCAGGCAGAGATATTCTGGACAGTTCTGGCAAATGAAAATAAAAATACAAACAAAAACTTGCCTAGGCATCTTCAGAATTTAACCTTTTACTTTGAAAGGATCTGTGGATACCAATTGCAGCTGCTTTCCCTTTGTGCTCGTGCCTTTGTGATTATGTCACTTTTTTAGGGTGTGAGAGGCCTAGATCTGAGATTATGTCCTGACTCAAAATAGGAACCTAAAATAAGATCTCCCGCTTCCTTGGAAGAATTTCGGAAGTTCTGGGTTGTAGGCTGTTCCTCAGTGGGTCTGTCTCGATGTCTTCTGTTAAAATGCAGTTGCAGAGTAGAGTAGTTTGTTGAAGGAGGAGCCGGTTGTCCTGTTGTTGGTTGGTTGCTGTCTCCCCCCAAGGTGTTATGTTCTCTCTAGCTTATAGAATATAATCTGAAACGGCCTCAGTGTGAGAAAATGAAAGAGGTCAAAGCTGGATTATGCAGTGAGGTATCTGCATCCTACATTTTCTTAAGTTAAATGTTTAAGTTTCAGAAATATTGGAAGCGGTTGTATTTGACTAGCTTTTGGTCAAAGAAGTTGAAAGACTGTCTCTGCAAATAAAGTAGCTTAGAACAGGTTTGGGTTGTTTGATTCTCGTTTCTTGAACCAACAAAGTCTGTAGACTCAGACATGAGAAAGAACTTTAGAGAAAGTTCTTTGTTAAATGTGTCATGCTGACAACTAGCTTGAAACTAGTGTGTCAGGTTTACCAACCACAATATCAAGTTGCTTTCATCCTTGCCCACTCCAGCTTTTTGATCTGCTCGGCTCTTCTCTTGAGTTAAAGGACAGTCAGATCACAGAGCTCATGCAGCTAAGCCAAACCACTTAAAGAAGACAGTCCAGAAAGTTGAGAGTGCAGGTGACAAGTCCACAAATCTCTGCCGACAAGTATTTTGAGCAGTTCATGTTACTGTCCCTTAGCTGAGAAACAATAATTGTATGCTCACTCCTATTCCATTGCAACAGAAAAGTGAAATACTTTTGCCTATAGCACTACTGAAGCAGTCTGTGCAAATCCCCCCCTTTTTTTTTTTTTGTCTTTTTTTCCCCTGTACAGTGTGTTACTGCGTCTCAGTTGTGGAGGCAGTGACTGAAAAAAACCAAAATGCTGTAACGTGTTGAGAGTACTTTTCTGAAGATGTGAAGTTCATTATAGAGGATTTTTTCCAGCTGACAGGCAGTGAAGCTAGAGCGGGAAGAATAGAAGTCAGAGGGAAATTTCATCAATAAATGCAGGCCTCAAGAAATGAGAGAGGCTTTCAGGTGTATGTGGGAGAAATTAGGAAGAAATTAGAGAAATGGATCCTGTAATTGTGCAATAAAGGTGCTCCAGGCTGTTAGTCTATTAGTCATTAAATCCAGCTACCTTTGAAACATAGTTTCTCTTGAAACTAAATTCTTAATTATGAAGGTCTTACCTGAGGAAGCAACGTGATAGAACTAACTCGTTACTGTTCCTTTTAAACTTTCTCTAAAATACATATTCTTCAGCTTATTGATTCTAACACTTTATATATTTGGGTTTTTTTTTTCACAGGTGCCAAATAATGGACAAACATTTGACTGTATTGGCAAAAAAGCACATTGAGACAAAATTCTTGAAATTGAATGCTGAAAAATCTCCTTTCTTGTGCGAGAGACTGCGCATCAAAGTAATTCCCACTCTAGCACTAGTAAAAGATGGAAAAACACAAGACTACATTGTGGGCTTTACTGATCTCGGTAACACTGATGACTTCACTACAGAGACCTTAGAATGGAGATTAGGCTGTGCAGACGTAATTAATTACAGGTAAATAATTGTTTTGTGATTGTTCTATTTTCAGATACAGCGCAAGGAGAACATGCTTGCAGACAGGAGAATCTGTAGAAGTTTGTAACTTTGACTGATATGTTGTATGCTTAAGACACACGAGAGTTTAATCCAGTTATTTAATCTGTGTATTTTGGCAAGGGAAAGAAGAGAGTAACTCTTTGTCGAAGTATTGAGACATTATAATGAGGGTTACGTTGTCCTTTTTGTACAGTAATAAAAATAAACAGAGTTCTTGCCGTGAGGTGTATAGGGTAGCTACACTGCCTTGATATGGCCTCTCAGAGTCATGCATCTAATTTAATCCTTTCAAAATCAGCTGTAGATGCTCAGATGTCGCAGTTGTAATGCAGTAAAGTTCAAGCATTTCTAATCAACTTCAGAGAAAACTCACAAGTCATCCTTAAACTGCATCTTAGTCCATATTACCTACATGAATATGTTTTTTTTTTTTCCAATGAACGGTACAGAAAGCGAAAATAAGTTGCAGAAATGCAAATAAATTATTTGTGTAGCACTACAATATAATCATCATAAATCCCACATTTAAGACTACAGGATGGAAGGCAGTAGAAGATAACTGTCACCACAATAGCCTAACTTTACAGGAGAATAATTTACCAGAACTTTCTGCTTTGCTTTCCAGTGTGGCTAAAACGTCATCTTTATCTTTTTAGGTTAATTTTGCTCTTTTGTTTTGAATGTCTTTGGCTTTTTTATTTTAAATTTCATTATCTGCATTTATTTCAACGTCTGATTTCGAAATTTTGGCAAGAAGTGTTGTTGTATCTTAAATGCAATGAAACCGCTGTTCAATTTACCTTAGTAGCTGTTGAACTGCAGATGAAATGACTGAAATGAAAATGTATAATTCAGAACAAGTGGTAATACCCACTTCCCAGTTCAGTCACAACCCAGTTCAGTAACAAGCAAATATGCAGAGGAGTCAAAGACAGCTTGGATATATATTCTAGGCAGCAACAGCCTTTTATGGGAGAAATCTTTCAGTGGAGTTGTACCAAGCTGCGTTGAATTTGCTAAATGTTAGTACATTGGCTTACGGCATAATTTTACTTCCCACTTGACTCTACTAGTACTGTGTATACTGCTCGTAGCTCCTTGTGGAGTGGGGGAGTTGTTTCGTTCTTTGTTCGTTTTGCCAGATCCTGAGTTTGGTACCCTGGCTTTGCAAAGTGAGCCGCAATATCTGCACGGCCCAGGATATCCGTTCCAGGAGACATCCATTTATGTGCAAGTGTTGCATTTGCACACTGCTCTGTATGTAATGTCCCGCTCTCTGGAGTTCCCGAAAAGGAGATAGTCCTCCTCAGAGCCTAGAAACAGTTCTTCTTCTTCAACCTGTGGGATAGCAGACGGTGAAAGGATATACTGTATTTAGGGGGAAAAACTGTTCAGGTCACATTGTTTGACTAAAATCAGGATTCAGGTGGTGTATTGACTTACTATTGACATGTAATTAACTAGCAATCAATGAACTGTACATTTAGGATCAATATCAGCAAAATGTTATTTACAAAATGTTAATACCTACAAATTTCTAAACACCGTTCTATAGCTAATTGCAGAAGGTTCTAATTGCTCGCTCACTCACTGACATTTAGGTGCAAACCCCTCACAGATCATGTGAGTGAAAGCACGCACACCATTTTCTGAGCAAGGGGAGGGGATTTCCCTCCTTGCTGTAGGAGATGCGGATGCTCCAGCTTTACGCGAGCACCTGCTGTTCCCAACAACCCATGGACCCACACGCTGGTGAGAAGGCCCCCGCAGGGTCATACATGCACACTGAGGCGTGAGTCCCTCCATACTCCCCTAACTAGAGCACAGTGTCCGATGGGGAAGCTGCTCTGTCTGGCCTAGGCAGAGATAGTACAAGGTGACTTCTGGCAGTACAAAACCCAGTTTCGACTAGTCTGTTTCTACTCCAAAGCCCCTGTTACAAAATTTTAGCTGCTTTTGTGCTTCTGGCTCCTCATTTGTTTTGAAAAGTCTCTCTATAGTTCCCTGGTTACTGTTTAATCTGACAGATCATTGTCTTTAGCATGATCAGTTCGCAGCAAAAGCCCTTTCAGGCAGTTTTTCTCTAGAGCTCCACTCGCAGGTGCTGTTTACACTGACACTTCTGTCTTAACTGCAGTTACCCAGGCCATTTTGTCCGGGATGTGCTATGCCAGCAACGCCGCAATGCTACTTAGGGTGGCTTTAGGGAGTAGGAGTTTTGTTCTCTTAAAATGTTTTCCTGGAGAAGCAGGTAATTAGAGATGCTACTTACTGTCTGCATGAATACGGCTTTAATCAGCATGTCTTACTCTTTTCCTCTAGTGGAAACTTGATGGACCCACCTTTTCAAAGTCAAAAGAAATTTGGAACAAGCTTTACGAAGTTGGATAAGAAGACCATCAGAGGAAAGAAATATGATTCAGATTCTGATGATGACTAGAACAACAGCTAAATGTATTTGTAAATCATCTTTTGTTTATGCTTGGTACATTTCTAAGGATGTTTTTTATAAAGCTTACTGCTTTTCATTACATCTGCACATAATGCTCATTTTTCTATACAGTTTTATACAACTGAGTCATAGCAGAAAAAATCTTAAATATTTTTTTTCCCTCTGTTGGAAGTCATTTGTAATTCAAAAATCTGAGTCCTTCCAGCTAAATAACGTGACAAATTATGAACTTTGTCTTAAGTATGAGTTTATCAAGTGTTTTGAGGTAACTGTTAGAAACAACTGTACCAAGTCAGACCGAAGGTCCCTCTGGTCCAGCATCCAGTCTCAGTGGCCAAAAGCAGATGCACAAGGAAGAGTAAAAACAGGGTGAGCAGGTAGCAATGCTTCCCCAGGATATGCTTTAAGCAACCTGTGGTTTGCGGAACTCTGTATCTGAGAGCATTTGCTGGTTAAAATCATGGGAAGAAAAATCTCTTTAAATCATCATAGTATCATGGTATCCACATCATATGGCAAGAAGTCCACAGTTTAACTGTGTTGTGTGAAGAACTACTTCCTATTGTTTTCCTTGAACCTGACAATTCCAGGGTTTTTTTTCTAATTTTCTTTATTAAAGGAGATGATAGACACTTTTTAAAAAGATTTTTCCCTATCATCAGTTCCTCTTCCAGTTGTCTTTCTAAATTTATTACGACTTGCATTATCAGTAAAGCACCACCAAATTATTAGTAAAAGAATTGTGCGTTTTAACAAATGATTGCTTATCTTATGGTGCCATATCATGACACTGAATAACTTAACTACATTGCACTATAAGTTGTAAAAACAGTCGTAACTTCTGTGAATTCTGAAATGGATGGTCAAGAGAAATGCCTTTTGCCATCTATGTACGCTGCATGTTAAAGCTGATACAGCAGGTAATAGCACATAGCAACAAGCATATTGAAAACAGCCTTGTTCACAGGTTTGTATAATTCTGTGGTTTTGAATGTGTGGATTTTATAGCAGATGCTTTGTACAAGAGAGTAGAATAGAGAAAAGTATTTGGGAGAAACCTTGATCCGTTAAGTTTAGATATAGCGCCGCATACTGTGTCCTGTTCTTCAGTAATGGACAGAACTTTCAAGGGAGATCTTCCTTGGAACACAATATAAGATTTCTGGCTAGGTGAAGAGTTGATGAGTTTTCGTTTTCAAAAAAAGTAGTTTGCTGTGTGCTGAGGGACCCTTTTGAGGTGGTACTTTGAATCCAGTTGGTCCACAAAGCTGTGAAGTGGGTCTAGTCAGTCTTGCTGCCTTGTAGTGGAGAACACTTGTGATTGGGCCAGCCCAGCAATATATCTCTGTAAGTAAGTTTAAAAAATTATATTTTATTTCTGTTCATGTACATTGAAATAAAATTATTTTAATTCTAATGTTGACTTTTGCATCCTTTCAAATAAGCTGGTCTAGGTGCTGTGGGTTATTTTTTTTCTTTTAAAGTCCATCAGAAAGTTGCATGTGCTTTTTCTAGGTTTCTAACAAACTACATACAGTTCTGTCTAACATTGACATGACTTTGAGAAGGTAAGCGGCTTAAGCGTACACAGCTGCCCGTTAATCTACTAGAAGCATAAAGTAGACTTGCTTTGAGTTGATCTTTTTAATGCACAAACTCTCGAAATGCACTAGAAAGTGCACTTTTTTTTTTAAATCCAGTTGCATGAAATTTAATCTAGGAAACCAATGTTCCAACACTGTTTTTAAGAGTGCCTTAGCAGGACTCATCGCCGAGACCTAATTATGTTGAATAGGCTGTGGAAATATAAAATCATGTCTGAAGTAGTTGCATGCTGTGTGGAAACACACGTGGGCTTGCCAGGATTCCAGCATGGTGCGTTGTTAGAGGTTACTCAGTTCCATGTGTGAATAGCCCATTACAAACTCAATGCAAATCCTAGTCAGAGCCTGTGGTTTCATGTCACGCTAAGCTGCTGACTTTTTTTCTAGGTTAATCTTCAGCTGGATGTCTTCCTTCATGTGGCTTGTAATAAATATGGCCACACGCACTCCAGTGCTGATAGGAGGAGTT